GTTGGTTTTCTATAGGTTGAGAGAACAGGCCCAGTTATTTCTCTAGTTATGAGAATGCCTAAAAATGGGAGTGAATTATTCATTTCCCATTCCACTTTTAACTTGACAGTACCGTAAAGCTTATTTATCCTCTCGAAAAAGGCTTGAAAATCATTTCTATTATTTAGCCAAACTGAAAATTCAAAAGAATTTTCTTTAGCTATTTCCCTGAAACTATTTAATTTTGTCAAATCAGTCTTATTGCGTTGTTTTTCGCCTCGCCAGCAAGATCAGCAGCCTCAATTAAGGATATTATATTTTTTTTCAAACGTCTGGCATCTAGCCTTAAGTTGTGCAATTTTCATTTTTCATGACTTTTTCAAAATCCTGGGGTAAATTCTCATTTTTTCAAAACTTTCTAGGCCCTAGAAATTGCTTCTGCAATTTTTGAAGACTTTCCAAAAGTTGTACAAACCCTGATTCTTAGAATCAGGTCTATATCTGAGACTGCATTAGAACATTTTATCATTATGAATGCAATCATAATATAAGAATTATGCTTTTAAGTATGAAAATCTATATATTTTGATGTAGCAAGTTACACCACTCAGTTTGTTGTTGTTTTCTTAATGCAAAGCCACACAATGGGCTATTTTCACTCTGTCCACCACGGGGAATTTAACCCTGGATTTTTGCATTACAAAACCATAAATTGGCCGACATGGGGAACTCGATCACTCAGTTAAAAAAAAATTAAAATACAATTTTACTGCAACATATGTTGCAACTCTGAAAACCCTTAAATAGGTTATTACATAAAGTTTCAATATTATTTTTCTTTCCCTGTGGCTCACATACTAGTTAAGTTCAAAACCTTATCACAGGAGGCCCTTTATCATGAGCTTCAAAATGTTTTAACTTTCTTAAGCCAAGAAAAATGTTCCAAAAGAGCAAAAGCTATAGAAAAATCAATTATTAGAAATTATGTAACTGTGATATGAGGCACACACACACACACACACACAAAAAAGGAGTATGAAAGAGAGAGAGGTTTTAAAATTCCTACAAAAATATACTGCAGATATACTTACCATGCATAAATTCAAATAGTTTATTCACAACAGTTTTCAAGAATTTCCAGTGTGCCCTCAGGAACCTTGGATACTGTCCCACGACATACATGATATTGGAAGCAATAATTGCCTTGTTGTCTTTTCCTTTTTTTAACTCACAGAGACTCAACAAGTCCTATAAGAAAGAAAACTTTTTTTACATGACTTTTAAGTACAGATCACTGTAGTCTAACATCCTATTGGAACTAAAGTGAAAGTACAATTTATATGCAAACTGATATTATTCAATAATATTCATACACTGATAATCAAGATGAATATGGTTAATAAAACATTTTATTTACCATATTCGAATGTTTTTGAATACACTTATTCCATCTCCAGCGAAATCTTAAATTAATGTTACAAATATATTTATTAATTAATTCTATAGTACCATTAATCACTAGTTTACTTAAATTTTGAGTAAATTGAAAGGAAATAAAAACAAAACAAAAATGACAAATTATTTTATTTATATCTGACCAAATCATCACAGAACAGAAGAAATTTGTCACTAACATTTCCATAAAACAAATTATATGATAATTCCAGAAGAAAAGAACTTTTGATACAAGCCTAATGTAGTGTAAGAAAATACTATATATATACAGAATAATACCAACACTACCTCAAACAAATGTAAATGATACTGAAACATACTTTAATGACTGTCACAAGAAATCGTTTTTCATCATCTTCATACATAGCTCCACTGATTGATCCAATGGCCCAGCACAGCTGTTAAAAGCAAAATAGTATAATATTTATTTTGTCATAAAAAAAGGTTCTTGTTTAACTCTTTCAGCATAGGCTCGGTCCCTGGGACTGACCACATAACCATTTTGTGCTTGTTATAGTTTTCATGCTATAACTTTTAAATTAGTATACAAATGTTAACGAAATTGGGCAGATTACCAAAAAACATTACAATGCTTTCATAAGCAAAATATCTAATTTTGTTTTAAAGTTGTAAGGTTTGTAAAGCAATGTTTCTCTCATGTCTTTTTTTCTTTTCACGTGTTGCCTATCTATC